TATATATATATATATATATTCTTTGCTTTCAAGTTAATCACTTCTAGAAAGGACTAGGTTTAAAATCAACGACGTGGTTGCTTGGATAGGGTCATCTTCTCTAACACGACAGCTCTGCATGTTTATTGCACAAACAAGGATGCATCAGAGACATAGGATTCATAGATTCGTGTCAAGTTACTTGCTGCTTTGGAGTATGTTGCTTGAAATGAGGGATTTTTCATTGTAAAGAGCACTCTAATAGGCAGTATCAAGTACCTTGATGTGCAAAAGATGACATGTCTAACTCTAAGGATTGAATTTACTGTTAAATATATGTTATAATTAAGTTTATAATTTAAATTTAACAAAATTAATTTTTTTAAATGTATTAAATCCATGTAAAAAATGTACTTTTAATATTAATTAAAGAGTAATTAGTTTTGATATGCACGAGAGTTGACAAAACATCTTTAACTCTAAATAAATATCTAAAGAGATGAGATGCCTTTTTAGTTTCTAATGCCGTCTTAAATTTACCATCTCCAGTGGATGGCTTCAAGGTCAAGTTGGGAGAATATGCGAATCCAGAGAAAATCGTAACTAGGAAAGAGGCAAAATCCTCGTTCATCCTCCTTAGGCAAGTTCTTTCAATGTCCGAAGCTGTGATCCACTCGAACCAAAAGTTTACAGGCTTAATCATAGTCAACACACGGGGATTTTGTTCCTTGGATCCTAGTGCTGCTATTCTAGTTTCCAATGTATCAAAATTTACACAAACGCATATCGTGCTTTATTTCGGAATTTGTTACAATTTAGGGCCTTTTGGCTTGGTTTGAAACTAAGTAACCAACATCTTCACTTGATTGCAACAATTTTATGCTCCTCACCTCTATTTCCCTCAAAGGATCAAACCAAACAGGCTACTTAGTATTAAAGTCATCATTAAACAGAGATTATTGTGGAAAGAAAACTATCAATTCCAACTGATAAATTAAAAGAAATTTAAAAACAAACACACAATCTTCAAACAATGAACTTACAATATAAAACTTTTATGCTACATCTATGCATAATATTGGAGAAATATGTTTTCTTAAATTGAAATTTCAAACTCCTAAGCGTCAGATAGAAACTACAGACATCGAACTTAATCAAACAAACTGAAACCCATATCATCATCAGATTCCTCAGCAGGTTCCTCTTTCTTCTCCTCCTCTTTAGGTGCAGCAGCAGCAGGGGCAGAACCAGTGTCCACTGCAACAGCGGCAACGGCGACAGCAAACTTGCTTGGGTCCTGCACATGCACCCCCACACAATTAACAAAGTCATGAAATGATGGCAGTTTAAAAATAACTCAATGAGGAAATAAGGATCCATTGATAATGTACCTTCAAGTATTCCTTCACTTTGTCAGCTTGAGGGAAGGAGTACTCAGTTGCGACAGCAATTGCCAAGACATTCTTATAGGCATTGATGAACATGTGTGGTGCAGCAGCAAGGGTTGGGTATGAGATGGCCAGAGACAAGGAAGTGACCATGGAGACACCAGTAGCAAATTTCTCAATAAGGTCATCCTCCGTCAGATCAAGAACCTCTGGGCTGAATACTGATCCATTGTCATAGACAGAGAGGACAATAAGGCCATAAGAGAAAGGCCTAATCCCAAGCTTTGAAAGAAGCGCAGCCTCAGAAGATCCAACCTTGTCACCCTTCTTAATAAGCTCAACAGGGGTGATAATTTCAACAGTACCCTTGTTAATCTTGGTTGGAATGTTGAGCACCTAATACATGATTGTACATATACAATATAGTTCAGTCAAAGTTCAACCATCCAAAAGCAGAAATAAAGGCTATCTGACATCAAAATGACCAACCTGAAAGAAAGAGGTCTGTGACGGGTCAAGCCCAGTGTTGCCAGGGGGAACAACCACATCAATGGGTGCAACCAAACCAACACGTGCTGGAGCTCCAACCTGTTAAATAATAAGCATGTTCAAAACCTAACATAAGCAGATTTTAGGCATAAAACTTAGGATTTCTGGGAAAAATGACTAGTAGGTTGAATATGATATGATATAATAAGACATATCATAGTCTCTAAGAAATTTTCGTTACTTCCATAAATATGTAAATAAACCATTAATAATATTTTTTTCTTATGCACAAGATTTTCAGTCTCTAACACTATATCTATATTTTTTTTGGTTTCCCGTCCGGTATCTGGGACTTTGCCCCCACTAATCTGGATCGACCCGCATCGCGCACCTGAAAATGGTGGGTGAGTCTCCCAACGAAAGCTGCTGTGTACACAAGGCCTCGAGATCTTACACTATATCTATATTACTTTGCCAAAAGTTTCATCCTTTGAGCAATTGGATATCATTCACTCGGCAATGTACAATACAGATTAATTTCATCAAAACCATTACATGTTAGCATGGCAAAATCAAAACTTCTTTGTTCATCAATTTCTACTGCTCAGCTAATTGGAAGTAGGGATTATCACTACATTACATAACATGCGGATAGAGAAGTAATTGCATTTCCACCACAAGGGTTTTTTAAATTTACACAGGAAGCACTATTATCACTCTCAACTTCACAACTAAAAATCCCATGAACTAAACAGGATACTAACACCAAATGTTCTACTTAACTCCATTTCCTGATATTCAAATCAAGCAAATTAAATACCAATAATAATAATAATAATAATAAAGTCACCTTATACTTGGCAACTTCCTCGCTCACTTCCTTCAAATCACCCTTTGTGAAGATCAAACCAACGTTGCCCTGGAAAAAAAAAAAAGACTCGTTGATTAGAATTCAGACATGAATACATAGCAGAGGTTTATTTCTGAACAAATACCTGAAGCAGGGGAATGAGGTTCAGGAAAGCCTGGTTTCCGGTCTTCTCGGCGTGCATCCGAATAGACCTCTTCATCATAGTGTTCTTTCCCATGAGAACAATAGAGTCCCCACGAAGACCCCTCCTGATGCTCTGAAGCTGGTTCGACCCCACGTTATCAGCAGCCACAATCAGGATCTGGCTGTAATCGTCCAAAAGCTGACACAGCTTAGCATCATAAGCGATCTTCTTATCAGCCTTGGATGGTTTCGATGCCATTTCTGAAACCAAAAAGGGTTACAACAAATAGAGAAAGATAAGATGGCAAAATCGAGGGCCAAGACGACGCTGGAGCTCAGTCAAGGCGGACAGCGGAACAACGCCGTCTCTTTAACCTCCGAAAGCAGATGTACAGTTGAGTAAGAAAAGAAAAACCCTAGTAAAGTGGGGAAGCAGAAGAAACAACTGCCGCCGATTACAGTAGTTTATATAGCGACGGTGAAAAACTGATGCTAGGGTTTTGCGGCGACCTTCATCGGACGGTTAATATTTCAATATCGTTAACCCATCTGACGCCTGTAAAATTTTAGGTTGTGGGCTGGTAATATTTTCCGGGTCTGCGTAAATTGTTTTGGGCTAAAAGGTGAAGTTTGGGCCACTGGCACCATAAATCCAATTGGACCTGAGAGGGCCTCACTAAATTAAGATCTGAATCGGAAACGTATATATAAATTTTTGCATCGGCTTTCCCTCGCCCAAATTCCGGTGCCGCAATTCTTGCTACCATGCCCTCCGCCAGCGGAGATCGGACGGCCGAGTTCCTGTCACTGTCGCGGACACTTTTAAGGATAGGAGGTATAGGAGCTGTCAGTGACCATGCTCAAAACGATCACCTTTCAAAAGCTGCGCCAGGGGTCTCCCACTAATCAAAATTCAACCAAAAAACTGCACGAATCGTGGCCGGCATCCAAGAAACGTCTCAGGAAATAGTCAGGCTTGAAAAGTGTATGCAATAAGTAAAAATAACAATTTGTTTCGTTCTTTAGTTTTTATTATGTGTGAAATTAAGAAAAGAAAAGAAAAGAAATTAAATTTGCTCATTTCAATTGGCCTAGGTAATAATTATTTAGAATTCAAGATTTAATCTTGATAGTAACCCATTTTTATTTAGCTAAATTAGGAGGTTGGGTATCAGTTAGTTTCTTAGTTTGCGGAGGCTTTACTGCAATTGATTCTATGAGTTACTTGGATTTTTTTTAAGTATGATAGGTTATATAAGAGGGAATAGCCATCTCCTTTTCTCAAATCGTTTTTCACCTGACTACCTGAGATTTCCAATTTGGAATCTCAGGTTTTTAACCAGTTGAGCAGGGTTTCTTGGATACTTTTGTTGATTGATATCATTATGGTGATGATTGATGAAGTTTCATTTTGTTTACATGATTTGGTGGTGAAAAGGTCATCAATGTTTGAAGATTAACCTGTGAAAATACAGGCATTGACTGCTTTGATAAGGAATGATGTTGTGGCACTAGACACGGCTCTGTTAGATTTGATAAACTTTCAAAGTATGGAGATTGCAGGTGGAAATTATTCTAAGGATAGAGTAGCACATTCAACAACTGTTTGTAATGACTTAGAGAGCAAATTCATCGGAGCCACAAAGCATCTTCAAGATGTGGTAAACACAAGGGCAGAAGTTTGTGCAAGTAGAATAACTATTGTTTTTTGATATCTAGATACTATTAAGGCTTCCTTCTTCCCTTGTTACTTATTTAGCTTGTTTTTCTTACGATTTTGCCTCTGTGGAGATCTGAAGGCTCATGAAAACAGGAAACATATATTTTCCAAGAATGCGTCGAGAGAGAATCTGTTTCAGTGTCAAAGAGGAAATGTGACTGAGCTACCTCCTTGGTCAAATTCCTGTAATACAGCTGGCAGTTTGAAGCAATCAAGGTGAGTATATATGTAATATCTTTTATTTTATTTCGTTCTTTTTCTAGACCAGTATAGGTTAGAAATATACACACATACTGTTGTCACCTTGTCTTTTGATCTAATAGAATGCTTTTGTAAATAGTATTCTTATCCTTCTGTAGTGATGAGTAGTGATACCTACTGATTTACGTATGAACTCTCTTACAAGGCATTAAACTGGTGTAGTGGTGTGGAACTTTCAAATTTTGTTAAGTTCTATGTCGAGTGATAGCCTTTCTCTAACAGTTGGTATTTGATTCTTGTCCTTCTTTGTAACCAGATTGCCTTCAAATGGAGTTCAAGTAGGTAGCCAATTAAGGTGTGTTTTTAGTGTCCTTGTTTAAGATTCAGCTTTTGCTTTGTCCTTCATCCATGCATTGAACCCGCTTTGTCCAATTTGTGAGGGGAGGTAGTACTAGTACTTTGCTCTGAAGTTAGAAGATTAACCTGCCCATGGATATTTTCTACCTGAACTTCATATATATTCTAATAGCAGATGAATTTCCATTTGTAATTTACAGTGTAGAGACGTATTTTCCCCTCAATATGGATATTCTTGTTTATGATTTAGTTTTTAAGTGTCTCCAACATGTTTTTATGCTAATGTAATGATGGTGAATTGTTTCGAACCTTGCCCCACAGACGAAGGCCAACTGCAGACAACACACCTTCCCATTATATGGAAATGTCTATTTCGCAGCAGGTCATTCCACGGCAAGAGAATTATACAGAGAGCAGGGCAGCTGCTCTTCACACTGTGGAATCTACGATTTCAGAACTAAGTGGGATCTCTACACAGTTGGCTACTGTGGTTGCACAGCAAGGGAAACTAGTTATCAGGTGTGCTGCTTTCTGATATATGTTTTATGTTTCTATATTTCTGCATTTCCACAAGGTCTGTCTATATATGTTCATTTCGAAGGAAAAAACTTAAACACTCAATGACTTGGTCATTAATTTGATGCTGTAAACTTCTGCTTCTTCTGATATCTTCTGTATACGGTGGTCAATTTACCAGCATTGACGAGAACATGGATGAATCACTGGCTAATGTTGAAGGTTCCAGCAATGCTGTGTTGAGGCACCTTCACCAAACATCATCAACTAGATGGCTTTTAATCAAGATATTTGCTGTGATAATCTTATTCCTGTTAGTCTTCATCATCTTCGTGGCTTGAACGCGATTAATAAGATAAAAAACATATCTGGGGCTGAAGGGTCGCCATCTCTGTATATGGCTTTAAGTCATCAAGTGCTGTTTGTTTGCTGATTAACTAATATTCATTGTGTATACCTTTAGATACTTGATGCTGCTAACTATTATCCGTGACAACTTGACAAATCGATACAGATTACTGAGTCATATCTTGTTCATTCGGAATGATAATTTTTTTCTCTTGCCTTGATATCACGTTTGGTTAAAATTCAAGAAATATATGCGTTGTGACTACAACTTCATAGGGGCTGATATGATCAATTCCTATCTTAGGCCTCAATTATTAAGTAACATATATACGGACAAGTGCTTACTTTATGTGTTTTCAAATAAAATTAAGACATATATCGAAAGTTAACTTGATATATATTAACTTAACAATTTTAATTTAGGCTTAAGGTAAAAAATTTAAATTTTTATAATTTTAAACGACTAATCTTCTAATGTAACAAATAAAAAAATAAGGTAAGGCATATCTGGAAGGCGGCAGCCACCCAGGCTAGGGATGGGCTTTGAGATGAGGATGACCTAATTAAGATGCAATATTCTCTTCTTCGCCCTAAAGTTTCTTTTATTGCAATAGAGAGCATGCCGTGCATATTTGGGATTTTAATAGAAAATGGAATCTTCTATCCGAATTACCATCTTTGGCTTTTGTTTTGAGAAGAAGCATAGGTTTTACTAAAGAAAACAGTTAAGGAATAATTTTTTTATATTATTTTTAGTAAATTTTATATGTTATTTAAATGATTAATTTTTTTTATCCATTTAAAATTTATTAAATGTATCTATTTATTTAATAATATATAAAAATTATAAAAAAATATCGAAAAAAAAATTATTTGTATATAATTGCCCTTTTACTAAGTGGGGTAATCGACTAAGTTACTTGCTGCATATTTCTTCCCTTTTAAAACAAAACCACAAAAGTAGGAAAAATGACTTAAACTTAAACTAAATTTTTAATTTAGGTCATAAACTTTAATTGTGTTCAATTAAAATTTCAAACTACACAAATTTTCAATTAAGGTTTGGATTGAATGGAATTTTAACATTTTTAAATGCCTTGCATTGCATGGCACCCATGTGGGATTGCATTAAATTCTTAAGCTATGTGGATTTTTTATAGTGGAATTTTTTAAGGTGATGTGGCAAAATTTTGGATAACGTGGGCTGAAACATGTCACTTTTTTAGTGGAATTAATACAAATTTAATATTTAAATAACATGATGTGATGTAATATTTTATTAATTTATAATTAATTTATATAAAAAATATAAATCACTTTAAATTTATTTATTACTCAATTAAAATTAAAATTATTTAAGGAGTAGATGTTAAGAATAATATCTCTTTTATTCTTTTTTTAATAAAAATTTATTATAAAAAATATAATTAATACTGATTTAAATTATACCTTAACAATCTAAATAACTTAGACGGTACTTATTTTATTTCAAAATGAAGGTTATTTTTTAACTTTGTCTTCAAATAATTAAAAATATATTACCCTTAATAAAAAGCTAAAAAGATAAAAACATGCGTTTGTAATAGAATAATTAATTAAAATAAATAGATAGTGATAAAGTTAAATAAGAAAAATAATATTTATTTATTTAAAAAATGACTTTTTTAAAATAAAAAATAGAGAAATATATTAAGTAATAACAAATTATAACAAAATCTCCATTTCATGACAAATAGCCAAAATCAAAATAGTCTAAAGACAACATCGAAAGCATAACTTACAGCACTAGTAACAAACTTAAACCATGCCCATAACATATATAGACAATTAAGTGAAGAGAGTCATATGCAACTAGGGATTGAATTTACAATCGCTGTATGAGTTAAATAGGGCTACTAATGTAAAAAGGGGAGTCACTATGAGTATTAAGAACTACTGGACATCCTTACCTATTTAACTAGCTTCCTGGGGAGAGTAAGGGATTTCGGCAACAAACAGTTCCCAACTCACAAGTTGCCGTCCTACTTGTTCTTAAAGAAGTACAACCAAGAGGGGTATGACCCTTCTCCTGTCAAGCACAAGGCCCCCCAATCACCTCCATATACTCTCAATCATGTTCCCATCTTCGCCGATCCTCTTCAAACCCATGCTATCGAAACTCATTAAAGGAACTAGAGCCCTTTTGCCGACTTGAAAATCAGACATCCCATGTTAATCATAGCCAACCTTACCAATAACATCCCTTTCCTTCGGCAATCGACTAGTTGATCAAGAACTGGTGTGAACTAGATTCGTCAAATTCGACCCCGCCAAGATCCCATCCGAGGAGATACACCAAAGCAAGATTCTTGCTTGTTAAATAAGAGAAACCCATTTCACCAGCAAGATCAATTCCAATCGCAGTCTTCGAAAATCAACAGATATAAACCTTAGAAAACCCAAAAAGTCGTTGCCTTGTCGTCCCTTGGGTTGGAGTTTCCAAAGCAAGACCACAACAAGATGAAGGAGGAGATCAAGAGGAGGAAGGGAGGGCTAAGAAAAAAAGAAGGATGAAGGAACTCTTATGCCGAAAAGAAACCCTAGGGAGGAAACCTGTCGCCACTACTCTTAGCCCTAGGATAGACTCAAAATAAATAAATAAAAAATAGTTATTTTAGGATAGAGGAGTAATACTTTTATTTTTATTATTTTAGGATAGAAGAGTAACATTTGTATTGTAAAAAATTAAACTATTATTATTATTATTTATTTTTATTTTTATCTTGTATTGCATTCATCCCTCATCAATCCCTTATACCTCCCTACTCACTTGACTTCGAGTTTAAAATTCTTATGCTTTATTTAAAATTTCTTATTTTTTATTAAGTATTACTACTTTATCCTAAAATAACTATAATTTTTTACTTAAATTGTCTTAAATTAATTATCATTTTTTAGGTAAGTAAATATATATAATTTTCTTTTTTTACTCTATCACTATCTATTTATTTTACAAACAACCTATTGGTTCAAGTGGAATAAGTTTAGTTTCTTTTAAATAAAGTCTCGAGTTCAAGTCTTATAAATGTAAAAACAAATGTTAGAAGAGTTTTTCCTTATAGTGTCTGATACGGTTTGATTTTGAATTAATCGGGATCCTATGTGATTATTGGATACTATGAGGTTAGTACCAAAAACTATTTATTTATTTTAATTAATTATCCTATCACAAAAGCATGTCCTTATTATTTTTTTTTTATGGATAATATAGATAAATATATAAATAGCCCTCAAATTCTTAATTATTTAAGGAAAAAGTCAAAATACAACATTATTTTATGATAGAATGAATACCATTAAATCACTTAAATTGTTAAGGCATAACTTAAATCTACATTAATTGTATTTTTTATAATAAATTTTTATTAAAAAAATATAAAAGCAGGCATTATTTTTGACATCTACTACTTAAATAATTTTAATTTAAGTGATAAATAAATTTAAAGTGAAATTATATTTTTTATATAAATTAATTATAAATTAATAAAATATTACACTACAAACATGTTATTTGAATATCGAAATTGTATTAATTCCTTAAAAAGTTCCATGTTTGAGTTCACATCATCTAAAATTTCACCACATCACTTTCAAAATTCCTGCTACAAGCAATATACCCATGCGGCTTAAGAATTGAATGTAGTCCCGCATGGCATGCCACGAAAGCAGGGAGTAATGTAGTGATACCTTAATAAGCCATTTAATGGCGCTGTTAAAATTCCATCCAATTGTGGCTTTAATTGAGAATTTTGTGTAATTTAAGATCTTAATTAAGCACAATTGAAGTTTGGAACCTAAATTTCAATTTAGTTCAAGTTTGGATCCTTTTTTCCTACTTTTGCCAAACAAAACCCAAATTCTTTACCCGTTATTTGTCACAATCATTCTTATTTAATGAAAGAACTAGAAGACCATTATTTTGATGATTTTTCAATGGATGTCATCAAAAACAAGGATTTTTTTAATGAAAAGTACATATCTTGCGTGACTAAAACTCATGTAAAGCAAAACTTAAAATTTTAAATTAGTAGTTGTAAGTTTTTAATGTTAATTATTAAAATAAACATTTTATTGGGCGAATATGGTTTTTCTTTTTTTAATAAAAGAGAAGATAGCATTTTGATTTCAACACTTATAAACAATATAAAAAATCAAGCATGAATGTGAAGATTAGAACTAGTTTTAGGCGAAAAGAGATGGGAAAAAAAAAATGAACCAACTTTTCTCTCCTTTTTTTTAGTCTCAAATTCCGCAATTGGTAGGATAAGAATCCCTCCCAAATTGCTAAAGTTCTTCATTCTGATGAAATTTCTGATTCCTTTTTTAAAGCTGGTATTTCCGTCTTGTATAGCATTTCCTTTGCTTGTTAAAATCCTGACATTTTGTCCTAATGCCACTCTCCTTTCAGGTCATTTTCTTGCATTATTGGCAATTTGGCTTTATAGATGTGTTTATTTTTAGGACTCTATGTCTAAAACACTTGCACATCCCATGATTTAGACATGAAAACATCCCACAACAACCAACCTCAAAATTGCAGCGACCTCCATTTCATTTTCATCAAACCAAACAGACTCTAAATATAATTGGTTTGAGATTCAACTGACTGTAAAACTAAATGAAGGATGTTTGGTGTCCAAAATTTTGAACTTTGAGAGGTGAAAATCAAAGGCAGTTTGCAAAGGGATTCCGTTTGTCCTTTGGCTTGCTCTTGCGTGATGGGCACAATTCAATGACATCTGCATTTCAATTGGGTAATTCATGAATGCACTAAACTTCTAAAATTGCCCATGTTATCATAAAGTGAAGCAAAATTTTGGTGGTTTGGTGTATCAATTAGTCATTTTCCTCCTTTGGTTCATTTATCTGGCCCAGCTTGTTCCTCTTCAAATGTTTATGGAAATAGTGGACAACCCCAAGTAATGAACCCAATCAACTCCTATGGCAGGGAGGAATAATGAATGAGAGACAACAATGAACAAACATTATTCATTCCCTTAAAAAGCACAAGAGAAGGGTTAATGAAGTTGTGTTTTAAGGAAGGAATTGTTCCTCCACCCACTATTTCCTCTCAAGACTCAATTGGGTGCAAGAAATGATTTATTAATGGCAGACACATGCCAAATATTTTCAAATCTTCCATGGCAGATTTTTCAGATGGTGGTGTATTGGTGATTGCCTATTGAAAAGACTAGTAAAGAATATTTTGGGAAAATGTAATCCACTAGACCTAATGAAGTAAGAAAGGGTTGACTAAGATGCACTAAGATTCCCCCATAAGAAGACAAATGACAGACACAGAAGATTTGATTAAACAGAGCAGTGCAGAGGAGAGGAGAAGATGAATTTTGGTGGTCATGGTGAACATGCTGAGCGGTATGGACTTACATCAGTTGATGGTCTTTGCCTGCTTTGTTTTTAGCCATTCATGTCTAGATTTGATGTTGCTTTTCCTTGATTTTGGTCCAATAACAAAAAGATATAGAAGATAGAGTTTGTATGCAGAAGGTTTCACCATGCTTCTTGTAAAGAGGTTGGGGTATCTTGTTTAGTTGAATCAAATTTAATTCTTTAATCTAATCAAAGACAAATTATTTATGTCACGAGTAAAATTTATAAAAAATTATCTGATTATTATCTTCTTTAGAGTTCAAACCTCAGCCAAACTAAAATTATTACCTAAGCAAGGCATTAATTTGTAATTAGAAGAACAAGAAAAATATGCATCTAACATTATCTTCAAAGTCTTTTAGCTTCAGCATCACATGTCTTGGTTAGGTGAAATAGCATTTTTAAGGTTTTAATTAAGGAGTATATATATATATATATGATTAGTGGAAAGAGAGCTAACTCACAAGAAAACTGATTATGATGACAAGGTTAGATGAAGCAGATTTGCTTCCCAGTAACCTTTAGAAGAGGTTTAACAATTCGACATCACCTTTTTAACCTAACAAGGAGTTCACTTGACTCTTGAGTAATTAATAATATCACTGGAGTTCTTCTTAAGGCACCAATATTGAAAACCTGCCCTTTGTTTAGAGGCATAACTGCAAATTATTGTTCCTCTAATTTTTAGGAGTATCTTTCCACCAAGCAACCATCCATAATGAAATGAATTAAGTAGAAAGGAAATGGGATTGACCCCATCTCTAATTATGCATATTCTTGGTCACTTGATACTATATATGATCTAAAGCAACTCTACCAATCAAAACAACTTACTAAAAAGGAGGAAGAAACTATTATAGTTGTATAATTGCAATTATTCGACATCTAAATTACGTCTTAATCTTATATGTACCTACTTTAGATGTTAATGAACTATTGGTTACAACTTAAAAAATTGTCATGCTTGTAGTGATTATAATGATGACTCAAAATGATTGGTAATTAAGGATTATATGCATGCTTTATTCATAATCCTAAAGTCTATATAACCAGACACTATAAAATCCCTTTTTTTTTTTTTTCTTTTTTTTCCTTTTTCCCTTCTAAATAAGGATGAGGAAAAAATGTGATGGGGTAGGAGAAGGTATGAATAATATGTCACGTAATGATTTATGTCCCATTAGTTATCAAATCATCACTTTAAAGAAGGCATTGTGGGGGTAAAAGAATGCCTTAGGATGCTTGGCTCGACCCCTTAATTAATGAAGAAGATTCTTTGAGTAGTAGAAAGTGACAGAAAATACTGAAGGATAATAAGGAAGGAAACTTTGTAGCCTATGCACCTTTTTTTTTTTTTGTGTGCATATGAATCGCAAGGGACACTTTTGAAGATTAGGAAAAGCCAAGTAAATCCAACCTTTTGTCATATCTTCTTTGGTATTTCAAACAATATTCTTCCTCTGTGAATACTCAAATTCCTTCTAATCATCATGGTTTCCAATTGCACCTCTCACACACAGAATTGTCATAATGATGTAATCACTC